TAATAGATCATGTATTAAATATTGATTTTATAATTAATTGAAAAATGATTATTTATAAAAAGTTCTAGGGTCAACATGTGTTTAAGATAAAATAGCATTAATTTGATTATTTAGGACATAATGGTGAATAGTAACATTTCAGGCATACCATATTTGGAAGGGTATTTCATTACTTCGACCAGAGCACCATAAAAGTCAGTGATCGAGTATTTGAATCCCTCGAGCTGTTTCTCCAGCTTCTGAAGCGTTGTGGGAAGAGCTGTTCTGTGTAATCTTGCAATTGCTGAACCTTCCTCTTCCTCGCACGCATCCAAGCTGCTTCCATTTTGCAACATCCTTAATATTGGAAAACAATTCATAGGACCCACATTAAGCAATCCGAATTTTCTTCACCTTCCTCGTAAATTTCCTGTAATTCAAAAATACATGCACGAGGCTGGTTCAGGATTGTTAGAGGAATAACAACCTACCACGTACGTACATATATGGCATGCAGTTGAAAGGAATTATAACTTGGAACTTTCCACATACTTGTATGCCGCTCGATATATTGCCAATCACAATATCGACAAATTGTTGCTGGGAGTATGTAAGATCAACAGTGCTGGAGGTTGTCAGGAAAGGTGCAGAATAGTCATTTCCTCCTACGCTAAAAAATATACACAGCTCTCGATAACAATGCCTTGGCTTCTGCATCTCCCAGCTTCTGCTTCAATAGCTTGCTAACTTGTTTGAAGTGACTTACTTGAGTTTTCAGGTCTATCGCCTGATTAGAAAGTAAAAATGTGAGGATTGGGGTCTGGGGAATGACAGCGACAACCCAATAATAACAAAGAGTGGAGGATGTCATATCGTAATTCAAAAACTCAAAACTCAAGTTTACGTATCTTTATATCTAGCTTTCTATATCATATCAGGCAAAAACAACTTACTGATCCTTGATAAGTTTCAACGAGAGCCCCAGCTCCTGCTGACGCAAAATTCACCCATAAATATAATCCTCATGGTTTGATGCAGGATGCAGATACGGCGGTAACAGAGGCAACTGGGCATATTCAGCGATGAAATCTGGGATGACGCGACCATCGGAAAATCTGCCGGTGGCATTTCTGAAGAAGAAGTCACCATAAGGAGCATAGTTGGCCTGAAGAAAAGGGATGGCATTCCATGGCATTTCTGAACCGGTTCTGATGAAGTTGTTGTTTCCGACGTCAAACAGTGAGTCTCCCAATATGAACAAGGCAGCTGCTCGCTTCTCCGGCATGCAGATTTTGTTTTGAATAACAGTAATAATCACACAGAACACCATGGAATACATCAGCATCCAAGTTAAACTTGCCATAGTGTTAATATTCTGCTTCACTTGTTTCTCATGTTGGTCTGTCACCAAGAATTTTACCCCTTAAAACTTATAATTAAATTTTTTTATATTTTTATTAAAATTTTATATAACTCTAGAATTAACTACATAATTTTTGTAACTCAAAATTAATATAATTATGTTGTCTTCTAAATAAATTTATACATACAGAATTTTATAAAAATTTAAATAATGAACTAAATCAATTTTTTTAAATTTTAGCTAAAAATATTAAATTAAATTTTCTATAAATTATAAAATATTTTTATTTTGGGAAAGTTAACATTCATTATTAATTTTATTTTTAAATATTAATATATTTAATAAATTAAATTATAAATATTTGATTAAATTAAATTAAAGTATAAAGACATAATTTAAATTTAAGCAAATTATTAAAACCTACAGATTTTTCTTTCTTTAATTTATTAAAAATAGCTTATATGAAAGTAGCACGTGGTCCGGGTGACCACCGGCCAGAAAAACACTATTCTAAATGCGGCATGCACGTAAGCCAACTAGTTTTTGGAAGTTCTGACCCCAAAAAAAAAAATACTAGTTTTTGGAAGAAAAGGCCAATTCATGGTGACGTGGCATGCTCTCCTCTCTCGGATGATGCGAACTGCGCAGATTGGAGGAGCAGGATTAGAATATAATATATGAATGTGAAAAATGTGGCATTTATTTGGCATCACGCATCAAAGTAGTAGGAGATAAGATTCGGGTCACTTTGATATTTGTAGTGTCCACAATCCATAGATTCATGAACCGTCCATCACAGGTAGAGTCAGGGTTTAAAAATAAAAGAATTCAATATTAAAAAATATATATATATATATATATTATAAATTTTTCATAAATTTTAAAAAAATCAGAAATATATAATACTTATATCATAAAAAAATTTAAAAAAATTGAAAGAGCCATGATCCCTATTAATCCCTCCTCCTTCCGCCACTGCCGTCCATCTTTTTATTAGTGAGATTAACATTTGACAGAATATTGGATAGACATTCCTGCATGCATGCTGGTCAAAAAAGGGGAGACATTCTTACGTGGTAGTATTAGGTAACCACAACTGTATCACGTGGTATTAGGCAATGTATAATATCAATTTTTTTTTTAATTTTACCCTCGTTTTTTTTTAAACGACGCGTTAGTGTTCATAGCGTGATCAGTAGGCTTTCGCATTTACACCACCATTCTTTTTGATAGTAATCTTTCCATTTTAAAATATTTTTAAATAAAATTTTTCATACGGATAAACTTTATTAAATATAATTATTAACATTAATTTTTTTAACATAAAAATATAAATTTTTAAAAACACTCTTAATTTAATATATTAAAAAATAGACATAAAATAAATAAAAAAAGAGTAATATTAAAATAAATTTATTTAATAAAACCTTTAATCCTCTTAATTGCTGTGCACGAGATCAATGTTGCAATAAAACCCTAAATATTACAGCCTTACAGTAATCATACCCAAAGGATGGTGATGAAGGTTGCTGATAAGATTATCAACATCGTACGTTGTCCGAACAGTGTCGGCATCAATGTTTTGGTAGGGAACATCATGGAGACTATTATTAGTCCTTCCATTTTAGGATCTAACCTGAATTCTTTCTTAATACAAGACATGCCCTTTGAACAACACGCCAATTTCCAAATCTAATTTGCAAACCCATTCTAACAATGTTCCCTAAAAGATCAAACCAATGACGGTTAATGGAAACAGTTTTATACATAACTTTACCAAATTAAAATTTAGCGAACATGCATCTTGCTTTCCAAATCTTGAATATATCCCCCAGCAAAATGACAACAAGAACCATCCATATTCCTCATAATCTAACAACAATCTCTAAGAACAAATCTGATATAAACCCCATAACAAAGATAAGAACACTGAAACATACCACTGGTGTAAGGCATTTGCAGCTTCCAAAGTTCTATTATCCTTGCCACGCTCAGTATCTCTTAGACAATGTAGATTAATGGAGACAAAACTCTAGCGAATTGACTAAATTCCACAAGATTAAACAATTGGAGGGATGCACTAAAACAAGCAAGTAACCAACAGATGGTTTGGAATTTGGATGCTAATCACATCTTTAATTGTACATTAAATTTTAATTAAGTAATGTCACTTATTTAGTGATTGAATGTATATGTGTAACATACGCATACATGTGCATGAACTTAAAATATAGATCAACAGCCCGCTAAAATATAGATCAACAGCCCGCACAAACGCACGCGCGCCGAGCACATATGAAGGATTTAATATTGAAAGAGTTGTTTGAGATTGTAAGGGTGAGTGAAATTGCCATTTCCGGTCCACATGAGGTCGACGAGATGTTGAGCAGCAGATTCTGTAGGATGAATAGAATCAAAGAAGACAAAATCATTAGCATTATCACATAACTCGTATTCTTGAATCCCTTTTTTCCCTCCATAGCTATAATCTCCTCTGTATGGTTCTCCTCCACAGCAAGCCACCTCTCCTTCTTTGAAACCTTGAGAAAGCAATTAATCTTAGTTGTATAATACTTGTACATATGTTATCATATTTCAGTCAAAATACAATATCTTGTATGTATATATTTTAAGGGCACGCATATATATACCATATTTTGAAGGGTATTTTATTACTTCAAGCACAACTAAAAAAATTCTATCACTAATAAACAAAATCTATTACTAATTTTCATCACAAATATGGTGTCACTAATTTGGTGATAGAAACAAATTCGTCACTAATTTAATGACGGAAAATATCCATCATTAATTGATAAACTTTTGTCACTAATTTATTTTATAATTAAATTTTTTTTGCAGGTCCAATAATACTGTCATGTCACCTCTCATGCCACCTCACAAGTACATATTACTTATCACCAACCACATCATTACCACTTGGACCTCAATGCCATGTCACCACTATGCTAACAATTTATTTTAATTCTTTTAAATTGTGACATTGCCTCATCTCAAATCCAAAACCTCTCTCTTTATATACATGTCTTTTGTCAGTAGAGCTGTGATGATTTTTTATTCTTGATATGCAAAATTTAATATATATATATATATATATATATTATATGTATATTTAACTTAATGTTTATTTAAAATGAAATTTCATTCTTAATTGAACACATATATTTAACTTAATGTATTTTTATATATTTAATATAATTAAAATATTTTCATGTGATAAAAATTTTATTTTATATTTAAATTTATGTAATAAAATAAAAAATTATTTTTTTATTTTATATCATTTTATATTATATATTTTACTTATAATAAGAGAAAAATTATTTGTGTAATTATTTAATTTGGTGATTTTGAAAAAAAAATTATGTGAATCTCTCTATGTATATTATAAATTTTTTATTTTTATAAAATATTTAAGCTCATTTACTATTTTTTAATCAAAATATTTATCAAATGTAAAGATTTAGTGACAGATTTAAATATACTACTAAATTTAGAAATTTAATTAAAATATGACAACATTCCATGTCCATCCCTAATTTATATAATTAGTGACATATTTTAGTCTGCCACAAAATTTTTGTTACTAATACCTATAATTAGTAACGGGTTGAATGCCGGCTACTAATTAATTTTTCTAATAGTGAAAGAGGGCACTGTGATAGTGAAAGACTATGTATGTGAGGCCCTCGAGCTGTTGTTGCAGCTTCTGAAGCTTATTTGGAAGAGCATTATCGTGCAGTCTTGCTAATGAAGCAGCTTCTTCTTCCTGGAAACTGCTCACGCTGCTTCCATTTCTCCTTAATAATGGAAAACAGCTGAATGGAGCAGCATTCACTAACGAGAATCTTCTCCCACCTTCCTCGTATATTTTCTACTGTTTCATTACTTCTTGTCAGCTTCATCAGAATTATCCAACCAGAAATTATTTAAAACGTTTAATTAGTTACTGTTATCAGTCCAATATGGAGAAACTTTCCCACATAAATATAATGGCCTCTCTCATACATTTATGTGGGCAAGTTTTGGGATTTTGTTCTCTTTTTAAATTTATGCTCATAATATTTATGCTTTCCTTGAGAAGTCAATGTCACAGCAAAAGCCATTCATGGAGGTCAAATGAAATGTTGTGGAATTAATGGAGCCGCTGAGGATATTGACTTTCAAACGGGACTCATTTTTAAGAATCTCATGATGGAAACTTCACTGGATAAATTCACTAGATAAATGTACTTTATATGTGTGAGAGGTTGGCTCATCCTTTTAAAATATTAAACTCTCATTTTAGATTTGTGCTCTTAATTTCAGTTAATATATCATTTTAATTATTGAAGTTGAAATAATCATAAAAGAAGCATGCATATGTACTTGGATGACGCTTGTCGTGTTTCCGGTCACAACATCTACCATGTCTTGTGGAGCGTATGGAAGGACTACGCTGGAATTTGTTGGCGAGACAGGGGCAACATAGTCATTGCAAGTCAGGCTGAATAAGAACTAAGAAGAGAGCTCTAGAAACGAGTGTCTTGGCTTTTCCTTCGCCTAATTTCTTCTTCAATTGCTGGCTCTATGAAATAACTTGCTTGTTGCTAAAGAAAAAGAAAAAAAAGAAATAACTTGCTTGAGTTCCCAAGTGTACCACCTATTGAAGAATAAGACAACAGTATAAGTTTATAATTCCCTGCATAGTAAACACCTTTGAGAGGAGAGTTGACTAATATATCATAAAAATAAATGAATATAAAATTTAAAACTGAGCACAACTAAAAATCAATCCCAATGAAGTACTAAATTTAGTTAGTATAAAGGAAAAACATTACTTTTGATTCATGTATTTTATTTTAATTTTGGTATAGGCTCCTCTACTTTGTTTTTAATATTATAGATATCTGCACTTTCTTCCGATTGCAACATTAGTTTCTATATTTTTAGAGAGACATTGATATGACTCAAATAGTGTTAATTAATAATACTGACATATTAATTAATATTATTAGTTTCGTGATTATGTATCAAACTGATGTTGACAAGAAATTTTTTAATAAGTAAAAATTAAAAAAATCTACATTGGGTGAAACAAAAAGGCTGGCCTACATGCTTTCAGTGATCAAAAAAAGACACAACTACCATGTAGGCTTTTTTTGTAAAAAAATCTTATTAAAATTTCCATGTTAGCATAGTGTCTTATAAATAGGGCCAAAGAAGTATAATATTATTACATATCACATATATATAAGTACCTTGATAATAATAATTGAAATTTTAATGTATAATTTTTTTAATAGAGTAATAAATGAGATAAATGTGTGGTTAAAAAACAATAATAAAAACTACTCAATGTCATAGATTTTTGATAAACAAATCAAAAAATATTTTATATTGTGGTTAGAAGAAAGTAGTTATATTTGGGTTTTTTTTTTTTGGGCCAAAGAGTTATATTTGGAATTGGAGGTAGTATATGAGATTATATTATTATATTAACACACTGTTCCCGGACGTGTTTCCACTAGGGCCCCAGCTCCTGATGATGCAAAATTTACTCCATAAATGCAATTATCATTGTATGTTCCAGGATACAGATAAGGTGGCAATAATGGCAACTTGGCACATTCAACTGCATCAAACAAAACAAATATTCAGCTTCAAATAATCAAACAAGCTCAGAAATTAAATATGGGATATCGAACATATATATACCAATGAAATCTGGGATTACACGTCCATCAAAGAATCTTCCGGTGGGAAACTTGAAGAAAGTTTGGCCGTACGGTTCGTAATTAGAGAGAAGATCAAAGACGGTGTTGATGTAGTTGTTGTTTCCGAAATCAAAGATTAAGTTCAGGCCAAAAAAAAAAGAATCAAAAATTAAGTCACCAAAAGTGAACAGAGCTGAATGATTTTCCGGCGCAAGCGCTTGAAACAGCCATTAATAATGCTATCGCCGCCAGTGATTTGAAACCAAACGACCGCACAGAAACGAGAAAGTACACAAGAATGCTCTCCAACTTGGCATAGTTTTAGAACAACTACTTTAAGATGCATCATTACAATTAGGGGGCAACTTTATTTATAGGTAAGCAGTTTAATTTGTCATTAGGATTTATTAATGTCAATTATTAAGGCTGTTGTTACTTATTTTTTCGGTTTTTAATGTAAGACGAAATTCAAAAGTTTTTTTTTGTCTTTAATATAAAACTAAGTTAGAGAATGTAGTGTTCTTTTAAAATTTTATCTTTTGTTTATGTATTGTCATTTGAAATCCTAAAATACAATTTGTTATGGTTATTAATTATAAATAAGGGAAAAATTAGAATGTTGCATTTTTTTAATAATTTCTAGGATATGCTCCTTTGATCTTATTTGTAGAACAAAAAAAAAGATTAATTTTAATTTTATTTATAGGACACTTTACAATTTTTTACATTCATCTTTACCTTTTTATCTTCTGCTAGAAAAATTATTAATAATAATTCTTTTTGTTTTTATTGGTATTAGAGTTGGAAACTTATTAAATTTTAAAATATATTTAATAAGATTTAAAAAATTTTATTTTCATAAAATATATTGAAAGTGATTTATAAATAAATTTAAAAAAAATAACTATCATTTTTTCATAAGAGTGAGATGAGTGAGAAGTGAGTTTGTCATTTAAGTTTTTCTTAATAGCAAAAAGTAGTTAAATACAAGAGATATTTTTAAAACAGACTGATTTGGTTCTTCTAGCAATGCCAGAGACAACCATGTGCCTCAATTGTTTTGAGTAAAATTTCGGAATTATCGGTAAGTACGTAATGGAAGGGAATTGAAGAAGTATTTATTAATTAATCAATTAAATAAATAGAATAGTCAGTTAGTTTTGAGGAACTCAGACGCAATAATTTGACCAAATTGTGTGAAGTGTAATGATTCCAGTGAATTGCATGTGCTGCGTTAGATTCCATCTTCTAATTTTAATTTTTACCTCTCCGATGAAAATCTTTGAGATTGGGATTGGTACATTTATATGAAATTCTTTTAATATTTTCGTTCAATTTATTAATTTTTATAAAATATAAAATCTTTTTTCCTACCTTAAAAAAGAAAAGGGAGAAAGAAAAGGGAGAATGACACAAAGTCTTCCAAATCAAAGAAACCTAAAGCTCAATATATTCTGAATTTTTTTCAAGCCCAAAAACTTTATATGCAAATATATTTTTTGATAAAAAGACTCATTTGCTTCTTATTTAAAAAAAAGAACGTCATGCACACTACATAGGATATTGCATTGTTCATGGACATTGTTATTTTTATGGAAATTCTGTTGTTTAATTTATACACCTAAAAAATTTATATATTATTATTTAATTAAATCATACAAACTAAGTATAATAAATAGATATTATATTATTAATATTTAGACCTTATCATGTTATATAAGGACTCATGATATTCATAACCCTAAAAATTTTGTACATTCTATTATATTATATTGTTTAACCCTAAAAAGTTTGTACATTATATTATATTATATTATTTAACTAAACCACGTGCATAATATATAATGAACGGATATTTGTATAATTAATGTATAAATCACATTATGTTATATAATTTTATTGTTCATATACTTAGAGTGAATATCTAGAGGACTTGTACTTCAATGTTCAACTAAGTCACACAAACTATGCCTAACGGATATTATTTTATTATTGTATAAATCTTATCATGTTATATATAAACATTTTATTATACGTACACATGTGAAATATGCATTTCAAATGAGGGGCAAATAAGTTTTTAATCAGAAAATATATTTGAATGGCATTTGGGCCTATAAAATAAATTCAAAATATATTAGACCTTGGGTGCAAATTTCTTTGATTTTGAGGCTTTAGGTGCCCTTTTCCCAAAAGAAAATTTCACATAAATTTATAAGTTCCTATTTTAATCGTTAAAGCTGCCTCTATTACATATTAAAATATTAATACTTCATTAAAGTTTTGTCATGACAAGTAAGAAATACTATAGTAATAATTAAATTTCGAAAATGGTAATGCTTCTGTTTTCCAATATAGGAGAAATTACATTATGTTTCTTTGTTTTTTATTATAAACAAATCTACAAATTTTATAAAGCATGAAATCCTGTTTTTTTTTAAGTATCCCTCATAAATATTGGATAGTATCATTAAATTATTTGGAAAATGTAAACATTAATTACAATAGCATTTTATCCCAAACATTTAACTTCCAACATAATTGTTAGAGTAACTAGTTAACTAATTTGCTTAAACTGTACAAGTTAATTAAAATTTTTTTATATTTAAAAACAGAGGGAGTGATTAATTATGCATTGAATCTATAAAACGATAGCCAAAATGAGGCAAACAAATTTGCTAAAGTCACAATTAGTATGAGATGGAAGGAATGCTTTTCCATTTGTGATATACTCCCTCCAGTTCCTATTATAAAATATCTTTAACAACACCTTGCTGGAATCAAGGAGATTAAAGAAGGATAAATCATTAACTTTATCTAGAAATAAAATAAACTTTTAACTTTACATCTATTTAAATAAAAAATTAAACTTTCATTATATTCTCTTTCATAATTAATAATTTTAAATAAGGGTAATATTAAAAAAATAAAATTAATATCCCATCAAATATTTTACATTAAAAACTAAAAAATCCTTTTAAAATGTGTCTTACGATAAAAACTGCAGGGAGTATAACATTCATACTATACATAATTTATGTAAGTCTTCTCATTTTATTAATTTTTTATAATATAGATGACTAGTGTCTCGAAATTTTATTCAGAGCTGGACATATATACTTTAAAGTTCAAAAATTACTTACATAAATATTTATAAATTGTCCACCATTCTCACATGCTTTGTGAATTAAATTTAAAGGTTATCATTATTTAGATCCCAATTATAGCAGGATTCCTTTTTCTTGTTTTTTTTCTTTTTTTATACAACATAGCAGGATTCTTTTGGTTTTATAATTTAGAAGTTGGGCCAGCCTTTATGAAAGAACAAGAGCAGAAAATAAATCATGATGTCGTCCCAATTCAAGGTTAACGTTTACAAATAACTGAAACTCGGTTATTCAAGTTTTTTGTGATGGATTACTGAAAAAGAATACATAAAAATACACTCAAATTGGTCCTTGCAATGTTCCTACTTCTTATGACGACCAACAAGTTATTGATACTGACGACAACAAAGAAAAAAAGAAACTGAACTGATGAACTTGAAAGGTACATTTCCCATTGCGCGCACTTACAGATCAGAATATATCTTATTTTTATTGATTTACTATATAGTCTGTAATCTGTGTTGCTAGTTCCTGTTCAAATGCCCAGAGTTCAGAGTTGAAATAAGGTCTTTAGATTATAAGGGACCGTACTATTGGAAGTTCCAAACCACATTTGGTGAGCAAAAATCTGATTGGCCCTTTCTGTAGGATGAGAGGAGTCAAAGAACACATGATCATTGGAATTCTCACACACCTCATACTTCTTTCCCAATCTTCCTCCACAAGTGTAATATCCCCTGTAGGGCCCACTTCCGCAGCATGCCACCTTCCCTTCTTTGAAACCTACCTCCACAAATCAAAACCACAATCCTCACTCCTTATCATGACCATACAAAGAAAATCCTCAAGCATTAGGCTAAAGTATGTAAAGATGGTGTAATACAGGCCAACTTGCAAATTGCGAGTTGGTGGGACAGGCAAAAATTAGCCACCTCCTGGCAGGATGGGAAAATGCCAACCCAACTCGCTGTGGATGGGTTGATGCCTAACCCATTTTCCTAGCCTTATCAGCAGGTGAATGAATATACTTACCATATTTTGAAGGGAAGTTCATTAGCTCCATGAAGATATCATAGTAATGGGTGACTGAATACTTGAATCCCTCAAGGTAACGCTCTAACTTGTGGAGTTTTTCAGAAAGTTCAGTATTGTGCAGCTTTGCAAGTGTAGATGCTTCCTCCAAGCATGAACCTTCACTTCCATTTGCATGGACCCTGAAAGATGGAACACATCCCAATGGAGGCATACCCAGAAACCCAAACTTCCTTCCTCCAATCTTGTGTATCTCCTTCAATTCAAATCATATCATTATTTCACTGACAAATTAGAGACACTCAGACAAGCAAGTTGAGGAAGTTTATAACTATTTGGAAGAACTAGCTAGGCTTTACTTACTTTGACCACACGAGTCAAATTGCCAACCACCATGGAAACATACTTCTCAGGAGTGTAGGACAAAAGGAGGCTTGAGTTTTGTAGGACCCGGGCCGAGTAATCATTGAACCCTATGTTAAATAAATATATGGCATTGGAAACTAAATTTTTTGTTTCAGAATCCCCATGTCTCTTCCTCAGTAATCTGTTGACGTTTTTGAAGTTTTCGAGTTGGGTCTTCAGATCTGTCACCTGAAAATCAAACATCAAGTTCCTACAATATAATTATCCTTGCCCCCAAAGACAGTACTGAATCTGACACAGTTTTACAGTCCATAATCTCATCAGAACCAGAAAAGTATGATGTGTTTTTAATAAAAGAACCAGAGAGAACATACGTATCCTTTGTGAAGTTCAACGAGAGCACCAGCTCCTCCTGATGCAAAATTCACCCCATGAGTGTATTGTTGGTAATTTGGATATGCATATGGAAGAGTGAATGGCAAGTCTGCATACTCAGCTGCAACAAAGCTCTCAGAGAGATGTGTGTGTGTGTGTGTGTGTGTGTGTGTGTGTATTGTTAGTTTAAGTTGAAACTTACACAAACAGTTCATTGAAATAAAGAGTAAATAATGTTACACTGATTGAATTGCTGTAATATATCTTTGCAATTTCAAGGAAACTTAAAAGAAGAAAAGGAATTATACCAATGAAATCTGGAATGACACGGCCATTTGAAAATCTGCCACTAGGGTACTTAAAGAAGGATTCCCCATAGGGCCAGAAATTAGCTCTGGCATTACGAACGGTATTGATGTAGTTATTGCTTCCAACATCAAATAATGAAGCTCCAAATACAAATAAAGCTGCCTGTTTTCTTGCCACACATTTCTCAGAAGCAGAGTAGCCCCTTCCCACAAATATGATCATCGCACACAACATCAACACACCATCTTTCCTCACCTTCATTTTGACCCAGTTATCAACCTCTATATGACAAATTTATATTTTAACCAACACACTTTATATTCTATACAAGAGCGTCTTAGTAAGAAAATCACATGACAAATTTAGATAAAATAAATGCATTTCTTAATCTTCCAATTATATACAATTTAGTTTATGATTCATAATAAGATTATGATAACTATCAATTAAAAAATAATAAAATAATTAAACTAAATTATTTATTTAAATTTTAAACTATCAAAAGATACCAAAAATTTAAACATCTATTAAAAAATTCAATAAATTCAGTCACGTATGGTTCATCTAATTTTAATATGCACCATCTAGATTGGTGAGGTGATGAGTATGTTGATTCTCATAACACTAAAGTTAGTTAATTTTCATATAAATATATAATTGATGTGGGTAATTTGTAAAGGGTGTGTGTGTAAAGACAGATCCAAATGGTGACTCAGCATATCAAAGAGAGTAACGTACATGATTGCCTTCGCTAATTATAAAATAAAGGAAAAAGACAGTTCAACGGAATTGTTAAATGAATGATTCATTGTATTCCTTTTGGCATCTAAAGGAATTGGTTCCCTGATTTTGCACTTTCTTAAGATACTCGATGGAGGCTTTTGACTTTTCAAAACCGGACAGGCTGGGGCCGGTTCAACTGATTGGATTGGATCGGCACCAGTCACTGGTCCTGTCCAGTTGAGGAAAAACAAAAAAAAAAAGTGGGGGAGGAATTGAACCGGTCAACAAACCGGAAAACCCGTAAAAAGCGAACAGTTTGCTGATTAACCGGTTTAAGCATTAAATCTGAAAAAAAAAAAAAAACATAGAGGAGACGCCACGCGAAAAAAAAAAAAAAGGATAAAAAGATGGGGGCGAAGGAGATGCAAAGGGAAAACAAAGAGAAGTTATTTTGCAACAAACCATCATCCTAGGCGTGCTTCTGCAGTTACTGAACTATCAGATCCGCAATAAAAATAGTTAGATCCAGCGAATATCTTCAACCTGCCAAGACGACCGACGCTGCGACTGAGGGAAAGAGAGAGGAGGAAGACAGGGATGGTTTAGAAAGAAGATAAGATAATGGATGTTTTGTCTTTGAGTATAAAATAAATAATAATAATAAATAATTATGTTTCTCAGAGCACGTGTAACCTTGACTTTTTAATAATATTAAATTTAAAATTAAAGAATGGAAGGGGAAGCGGAAAAGCAATTTTTGACCAGCAAAGCGGAAGAGCAATTGAGGAGGTGAAAATTAATTGATTTTCGGTTCAATGCAAACAGCTTTTTTCAGAAAAGAAATTCAATTTAATGCTACTAAATGCCTTTTACATTACGAAATAAATAGGATGAATCATACTAGATACATACTTTTATTTTTTAAACAAATTAAAAGATAAGTTATATAAAATAATTTATAAATTTTCTTTGACTTTAAAAAATATGTTTAATTTTAATTTAAATGTTATTTTAATAATTACTATTTTACATGTATTATTATTATTATTATTATTATTTAAAAAATATTAGATTAATCATAATAAATTGAACTACAGTTTGATCACGACTAAATCATTAACTCATGGATTAGTTTCCTATCTGATTTAATAACCAGTTTGGTTTTGAAAATTTTAGTTTTAAATAAAACATCATTTGATTTGAAAATGGTGCTTGCATCACCGCGTTCCAGTATAACGGTTTTCCTAATTCGGGCGTATAAAGTGCAAATTCAAAAAATAATGTGCATTTTTTTGATAGAAAACTCAATTGTTTCGGTTGCCTTGTATATTTCTATATATAAGATGCACATGAATGTGAGAGATAAATATATTCCAAATATATAAGAAAATGTATACTTCCCCCTGTATATATAACTTAATTAAAATATTCTCTCTCTATCAATAGGCATTGGTCATGGTGAAAAGAGTTATAGCAACTTAAATATGAGTTCTCAAGTACCCCTAATTAAGTCCAAGAATGCTCAAATATGATTGAACAACAGATAGCTAATTGGAGGATTATCAAATGATTCTAACTATACGTCTTCCTAGCTAAAAGATCATTGATAACTTTGTTTCATACATTGCCTGGTGTTACAAGGCTTCAATGCTAGTAAATGCCAGTGTTAATTTTTGTTTCATGTGTTTAGCGTTTCCACATGTTTTATTACCAATGTATTTACAGAGGTCAAAGTAGCAAAAAAGACTTGAATGCAAACGTGGCCATAGCTTCCGCATTAACACATGATATTTCTGCATGGAAGACATGTAAAAGTAGATCAAAATGTCTCTGCTTAAAACATTCACCAATATTTTGTAGCAAACAAAGATACATAGCAGGACATATTAGAGTATAAGATGTATTCTGTTATATATTAGTTACTGTGTAATCATAGTTGGTCTAGTTAACTACAGTCAGTTACACCTTGGTTAGATTATGAGTCACCTGTATAAATATCAATGTACTGTTCATTAATAATATAATTAACACTTTCTACATTTTCTCTCTTTCTCTCGCTTTCACACATGGTATTAGAGTTGATCTGTTACTCAACGATGGCCTTTGCTAATTCATCTTCCGTCAGCTCCAACAGGCTTGTCCGTCTCAACGACAACAAGTCAAGTGACCTTGTCTCTTTTACTCACACTATTACCTCTAAATTGGATGAGAAGACTTATTTGATCTGGCAACAGCAAATTTAATCTACCATACATAGCCACAGTCTCTTCTCCTTCTTAGAGACCGGATCATGGTCAGCGCAGTTCAAGATCGCTAAAGATTTCAAAGCCGGTCATCTTTCCTTTGAGTACTTTCATTGGTACAAACAAGATCAACTACTTTTTTTGGATCCAGTTAGCAATTTCTAATGCTATGCTTTTGAGACTCGTCAGCTGCACCACTTCATATGAGGCTTGGAAAAAGACGAATTTTTCGTTGCACATACTCATGCCAAAATTTATCGATATAAGAAGGAATTGCGAAATACGAAGAAGGATGATCGAACAATTACTGAATTCATCCTCCATGTTAAAGCTCTTGCAGATGCTCTCATTTTGATTGGTTATTCTGTTACAGAACAAGACCAAGTTTAATTTTGGACGGTCTTCCTGAGTGTGATTCTATTGTTGCCTTTGTGAACTCTCTGTGTGATCCTTTCTCTCTGAGTGAAATTGAATTGCTCCTTATTACGTATGAACTCAAGCTACACAGATCTCTGAAATCAGCTATCGATGCTGTCAAACCAGTTGCTAATGTGGCTCACGCACCGACTGATTCCAATCAAAATGCTTTTCGTCCTCCTATTGGCAACCTTAGAGGAGGTGGTAGTCATGGTTCTTGCCATTAAGGCCGTGGTAGGGGTTATGGTTTTGGTAATTAAAACAGACCTAGCTTTATGTGCCAAACCTGTTCAAAATTAGGTCATATAGCTCAATTCCGCTATCACAGGTTTGATCAGACCTCTTATTCCTCTCCTTCGCCTCGACCTCAAGCTCATTTTCATGCTATTGCACCTCCATATCTTACTCATGCCTCTCCTTATCATTTTGATCCCTATGCCTATTACTCACCTGGTTCTTTCGTTGATCCATTTGCCTCTAATGTTATTTGGTCAGTCACCCGATTATTTAAGTCTTAAAGTCTTTGGTTGTGCATGTTATCCTCTTTCACGTCCATACAACTCCCATGAGCTATCTTTTCATTCGGTTGAATGTACCTTTTTGGGTTATAGTGCTAGTCATCGTGGTTACAAATGTCTTGGTCCATATGGTGGCATTTATGTCTCACATGGTGTGAAGTTTAATGAATATGCATTTCCTTTTTAATTCTGGTCTCCCTTCCTCTCTTGCCACTTCCATGCCTTCTCATCCACATTTTGCTCACATTCTTTTATTATCACCAGCTTCCACACCCTCATCCACCTCTTCACCTAACATTTTGATTCTTCTTCCAACCTCTTCTTCTTCTTCCTTTTCTTCTTCTGCTAATTTTGTTTCCTCTGCATCCTCTCATCCTTCTCTGCCTAACCCACCTCTTACCCTTAATACTCATCACATGACAACCCTGCCAAAGCTGGCGTTCGAAAACCTCGCTATTTCTAAGTCCAAGACCTCTCCATCATACCTACTGATCTTTATATTGCACTCACTATTCCTTATTGGCAACAAGCCATGACTGAAGAATATCAAGCCTTGTTGAAAAATAATACTTGGTCTCTTGTTCATCCCCCTCCAAATCGGCCTGTGATTGGTTACAAGTAGGTCTTAAGAACAAAAGAAAATCTCAATGGTTCTTTGAACAAATATAAGGCACACTTAGTTGCAAAAGAATTTCATCAAACTCATGGTTTTGATTGTAATAAAACATTCTCCCCTGTTGTTAAACCCATTACAATCCGCACTGTTCTTAGCATTGCTCTACATTACAATTGGCCAATCTCACAAATTGATGTGAATAATGCATTTTTAAATGGTCTCCTTGATGAATAAGTGTATATGAGTCAAACTCCAGGATTTGTTTCTACTGGCAAAATATCAAATTGCATACATCAATCTTAGATATGGGAATATAAGTAGGATATTACGTTGACATGAATAAATTGTTATAAGGGTTTCATTGTATTAGAAAAAATGATCCAAATTAAAATGAATATTTTCTTATCCAAACTAGATAACTCACTAATTAAATGAGCTAACCCTAATCAGTTAATTAGGATTGGTCTAATAAATCCATATGATTTAAAAAATTACAAAAAATGAAGAATAAAAAATGCAAAGACTGCCGTGCACCAAACACCACAAGACAAGTGGATTTGAAATGAATTATAATATGATAGATCAATCTTTTATATTCATAATATGAATTTTCTATTATCATTCAATGATATGAAATATCATATTGAAACTTACTTCTTACAAACCACAATATATATATATATATATATAAACTGTTATTAACTAATTTACATTTCTAAAAAAATTAGTTAAAACCTTGATTTTTAAAAAATTTTCAAATCTTTCTAACCCATGAGTATAATAAATATAAGATTTTACTCATTCAAAATACTCTCATTAATTATTCAATAAAGTAAGGTTATAATTAAAAAAATTATAATATATATATATATATAGTGCTTTATATTTTGAATGAAGCGAAGTTTTTAGAAAACTTGTGGTCTAGAGGAAGTATTATTAATGTATAATTTTATTTTTAATAAAAACTCATGCAAAATAAAATAAATGGGCTGGCTCATGTGACTTAGGCCACAAATGTTGGGTTGGGTTTTTTTCAACTCATGTAGTCCATATATTTCACGCTGGCCCAGAAGAATTCAAGATATGTAGCATCCAATGTTATAGACAGAGACATTTTTAGACGATAAAATATGTGAGAAATACCTCTCCTCGACTAGTTTCGAAAAGAGCTCCATAACCACCACCAGCAAAATTGGCTCCCTCAAGCCATTGTTGATAAGCAGGATGCAAATAAGCAAGAGCCAATGGTAGATTCGCATACTCTTATCTGCGCAAAAAATTGATCTTAAAAAATGAGGGCATGATCCAGAGCCCAAATTCAGCCACCCCTAAAAAACAAAAACCCGGAAGGTTGCCAACAATATCAACAAAAGTTCGTCCATCGCTATATCTGCCAGCAGGGCAGTTGAAGAAGGTCTGGCCGTAGGGCGACCGGTTAGCCTGAAAGTGAATGCCGGGGCTGATGTAGTTATTGTTTCCGACATCGAAGAGAGATTCCCCAAAATATGAACAACGCGGCGTCGTTCGTTGGTCGCTGGCATAATTTGGCAAAGCAGCGAGTTGGGATGACAGAGACAAGTGATGACAGACAGATAACTAAACCAGAAGGTGTCATCTCCTCAAGTGTCTGTTCTGCGATTGAGTAAAGAAATTTGAAGGTCAGTGTTATGTGAAGATACTGAAATAGAATAGTTGTACATGTGCGAACAAAAATCACCATTCTAACTGATTTTCTATTCCATTATTGTCTTCACACTTGATACAGCACACTTACACGCATTCCACTCAACATACGAGTAACATGCTCGTTAGGCCCAACTCGACATAAAATCCAGGAAGGTTCGGATAACGTAATAGTGCTCTTCCTATCCTATTCTAAGTATATTTTACGTACTAGTTATGGCCTTTTTTTCCTTACCTTAAGTGCCAAAAGCTAATAAATTGAATTAGAAAGAGATTATTTAGGTAACTGACATTTCAATGGGGACATCATGTGAGAAAGCAATGATGGGACAAAGGTGAACCATGAATGTGTAAGCTGGACGATTCTGTTTACATAAAGCTGATAATAATAATTGTCCACTCCATCTTGATGGGAAAAACATGTCAAAAGATTAAAGAGCAAGAGCCTATTGAATATATAAAGTTAAAGTAATAAAAAATTAAAATTATAATTATAAATTATTGATAAAATAATTATAAACAATTAATATTAAATTTTATTAATAACACATAATTGTTTAACTATCAAATATGTAAAATAGTTATAAATTAATTATTTAATTGATATAATATATATTTAATATAGGTATTATTGTCTTTACAATCTAATTTTAAATTACACTCAGGTCTCAAGAGACCTGGTTGTGAATCTTAAATTTTGTAAGATTTATTGGTAAATAAGTCTACTCTACAGGACCTATATATGATTTTCTCTGTTTAATATTATAAAATAGAAGTTGCTTCTTATAACAAATCTAGGAATATCTTTTTTGGGAGGCAAATTTTATTCTTTAATTAATTATGGAGAGACAGAACTTAGTAAAAAAATTTATTTTTAACCTGATTCCATAGTTTTCCCACATACTAATTAAAGGGGAGAGCATATTTTTTTTTATAATAGAGAAAACAATAAAACAACAGGAACTACCAGAAATTAAAGAGCACCCCCCCCAAAAAAAATAGTCTCTCTGGGTAACACATTATAAAACAAAATAATTATTTATATGTTTAATATATATATATATATATATATGTAAGCAAACCAAATTTCAAAATAAAATAAGTTATTATTTATATTTTAATTTAAAAAAATTACAAAATGTGAAACTCTTGGAGGAAAAAAAACTAAGATTTCGGGTACTCTAAAATAAATTATTTTTCTGACCAGCCAAAATAAATTATTTTTAAAAAAATTTGTACTTTTGTTTTATTCTTAGCTTTTTAAATATTAAATGCACGGGAAAAAAACCTACTTATCTGAATAAAGAACACTTTCTTTTACCCAAAGAAGAAAAAAAAAGAATAAAGATTATTTTCAAATTTGAATAGAATTTAATACATCCCATGTAAGGAATAAAGCATTCAGAAAGGCCTTTTTTCAAATGACAACCTTTTTCCCCTTGGCTCAAACCCAAAAAAAAATTGCTTCAAAGGAAATATTGAGTGTGAATGTTATGGTTATTATTAGGCTAAAATTACGTCTAAGGAAAATCAACCTTGTAAAATTTACTGTGAAAGACTTCAAAATTCAAATCGTTTAAAAATGCTTAAAATATGTAATTTTTGTCATAAATGGATAAAATGTCCCTTATAAAGAAGGAACTCAATTATAACTTGAAAAATGAAGGTAGTAAACAATTCAGAATCTAATAACTTAAGGGAGCATGTCGTTGACTTTTCAACCCATTTAAATTAGATAACAAGTTATTGAGAAGTTTAAAATAATTTCTTTCATGAGAGAACTAAAATACTTTAAAATTTGTAAACAAGTTAAATTCTTCAACGTTTTCCATTATCAATTTTGGCAAGGTCTTGATAAGAAAATTTCTCTTGGAAGCTTCTATGCTTTCAATATCGTCCCAAAACTGTTTTCTTAATACAAAGACAAATCCAAACACTTATGTTTGGTATGCATCTGTCTTTTTTCTTGTACATTTTTCATTTCCATGTGCCAAACATGTAACAAAAGAAAATCAAAATTCATCCATGTCATGAGCTTATAGAGCAAGCCTATGTTCTTAAAATATGATCATAAGCCATAGATCAGTCAAACAACAATAACTCTTATTTCTTCCGTTATAGGTCTGTGTACGTAGCTTCTCACATCAATCCTTATGAGCTCATCGTCCCAAAATATTGCATTTGAATAGGATTCTTTAGATGGAAAGGGCTGAAACGCATTTCATCGTGATGGCTCTGGAGTTGCTGAAAGCAAAAGCCTGAAAAATATTATTTAATAATAATATTATTATTATTAAGTTGGGTTAAAAGGCAATTTCATTTTTAAATGGCAAGAAATATCTAGGATACAAAACTCATTTTTAGTGCAAGATTTACCTTTAACTTTTAAAAATGGTATAATGTTATCTTTAACATTAACAAAACTTAACTTTGATTGTCAATTGACCCCAAAAATTACCAAAAAAAAACCCTCAAAATTTATAGAAGATAATCAAAAAAAATTATAGAAAATAACTCAAAAATTACAGATAATGATCTGTAGGGCAAATTTGCGATTTAATGCTATTAAGTTTGATTTATGTTCTTAACACATCTCATGAGATCTGATCGACTAAAAGGGGGAAAAGTGTGCTAGTGATTTATAAATATAGGTGAAGGCCAAACAATTACCAAGCGACTCTTGATCATTTTGGCGCTGTATACTTTATAATTGGATGAAGTAATCTCTTTCAAGTTAACATTCATGTCACAGTCCATAGCAAGCTACAAAAAACAGTCCAACAAGATCATGCCTATGCTATATATTAAATTAAAGCATCAATATCAACATATACATAAAACACATAGAAAGCTCTGTGTAAATTATCAATAGAGCGACTTAATTATCTCAAACCCAATACAATATAAAGGCACTACATCCAGTTAGACACCAAATTAAACTAAAAAAAATTTTAGAATTGGCTTTAGTATTTTTCTCATTCAAAATATTGAATGGTATAGAAGTTACAAGTAATATATAAATGTTACCAAAAAAAAATATTTTCTTCCGTCGTATCAAATGAATTAAATCACTTTTTCATGCAATGAATTAAATCTCTAAATGAAGAAAAAAGAAGAGAGAAAAATTCACCTTGATATTAATCAAATTTAGATGAAGAAACCAAAGATGGGCCTTAACATCTCCTAAGATTTTCATCTCCGAAATGTTCCCTTTTGGCTCATCATCATGAGCAGTCTCTGAAGCCTTTCCCAAGATTTTAGTGACGTTAACACCCTCTAGCAGAACACGACAACGAACCACAACATCGTCGCTATGAGGAGGCTGAAAGAACCTAGGAATTCGTATGGTTCCTATGTGAAAATCTTGGTGATAAACATGGAAACTCGCAGGACTAAACCCTAATCCAAACTTGTTGCGATTCTCAGCATTAAGGGTCAACGAAAGCACAGACGAAAACAGAAGGGTTTGGTTCGAGCTACGATCGTTGTCAACATCGTAAAAGTCCATGTTAACCTCTCGAACTGAGAAAACTGGTTTGTGGGGTTTGATGATTATGATGACAAAGAACGTGGACAACCCGATTATTACGACGGTGATGAGGAAGAAGATCAGGAGAAAGAAGCAAAACTTCTTGAAAGAGAAGCTATGGAGGGAGATTTTTCTGCAACAGAAGCAATTATTTGAATTGCCGGTAGGGTTGGAAGCATCCATATTCGGAGATTATTAAAACATGTTTGGAGGTTTAGATGTACGTAGTGAATAACAAGGCGTGTTTGGTTTATTGTTATAATTAAGAAGCATTACTTCAATCAATGGCATTAAGGTGGGAATGTGATGAATTCCTTTTATCATTGGCTTACAGTTATACTTATTCCTTTCTAGATTGATGCCAAAACCTTTTGAGGAGAAAACCACCGCAGAAAGCAACTAACTACTTGCTTCAACCTCTTCAATTAATTCATTCATTAACTATCATTCAAACCGCATAGAAATAAAATGAATTTACTTGTCCTCCTGCCTTTCAAATTTTCTTTCTAATAAAATAAAATTTAAATCCTGGAATACATATACAGTCATGTTCAAAAAGAATGTTGAAGGCATCACCGAGACATTATGAGACTGTCATTGGTAATTAAGAACAGCCTTATACAACAGAAGTCTGGATTAGTCTAGACGATAGTGGTAATGTTATAAATTTTATATCATACTAGACAATAGAACTAAAAAAGAAATTTGTGTTTGATGTACACATTGAGTATTATGTTTTTTTAATGTCAGTAAAACTAAAAGTTAATTCAATCAAGCTCTATAAAGAAAGCTTGGCCAAAAAAAAGGCGCTCTACGAAAAAAGATGTGAGTTGGAATTTTACGGTCAACGTATAGAGATTTGGAGTCATAATCCAAGAATAAGACGGACAAAGCTCGGCTGAGTTGGGTCTCACTCTCATTAAGGTCAGCTTGGGACTCAACTCGACCCAGGCGACCTACTCGTTCTAAGTTTCAATATTTATTTTTGGATTTTTGTTTTCCCAAGTTTGGACAAGGCCAGGTTAGTCCAGAATTCAGGCTTCTTGTAAGCCCAACATGCGAGTTTCATCTTTCTTGGTAACTCAAGAAAGACACAACCCAAAAATAAAAAAAGGGGAAAGAAAAGTTTTCACTCTCTCTTTCCTCCTTTTAATTGTTCAAAAGTCAAAACGAAATTCTCCAACCACCGGCCCTTTTTTTTTTTTTTTGGCCAAAGAGCCACTAGCTTACGACGCAGCAAAATTAACGCAATCTGGAAGATGATGCTAGGCGGAGGTTACTTAGAAGACAGAAGGGTAGCAATCATATGTTGCAATTTGCATCATCGTCATACGTATGAAACGTGAAAGAAAATACATAACAAGACAACATACTATCCATGCAGAATGACAATTAATTTCTAAAAAATTGAAGTCACAACCATTAGGCTTTAAAAAATTAAATTAAAGATGGTTAACTTTGTGATAAAATTATTTAAAAAACAAGTTGAAAATACAAATTCAAGTACATATAGTTTAAGGGTTTCGATTATAAATAAAATATTTATACTTTGAATGTATGATCTTTAAATTATAATTGAAATTCCTGTTTAAATTGGTATTTCCAGCTTATTTTTTAAAAAAGCATTAGAAACCTGATTGCCATTAGATCAATCTTACGTGACCTGATTATCATCGTACATGCTGCTAAGAGATTATATTTGTATTTACCGTGTGTGTACTTTACATTTGAAAAATCTAGCACGAGCGCGCTCTTTCACGGTGTCTTCTTTGACCGATATACAAACTCGAGGGGATCAATGGTTAGATATGATGGTGAAACAAAGGGGGACACAATCCACAGGAGCAAAGAGAAAGAAGGAGAAAGGTGGGAAGCTGATACGTAGACGAGAATCACGAGAGGGCTTTGGTGCGGATCCTACCTGACATGAAGTTGATTGGACAGAGCAGTCTCAGAAACGTTTGCGATCCCCAGATCCGACCCCGACCACGTGCGCTAGTCTTTGCACGAGTCGGCCATGACCTTTGAATCACACATTCTCGTAACTTGGAGCACCATCACCAATAATAAAACTAAACCAAAAACTACACCCTTCTCATTTTATTTATAAATTATTTTTAATTTTTAATAAAAATTAAAAAATTCAAATTTTATTATTTTTTTTAATTTAATAAATTTTTTATGTACCTATATTAAATATATTTAAAATAAAAATACTCTAATATTTAATAACTTTTAATAGAGACAAAATGATACAAATAAATATAATAATTATTAAAATGCTCTACAAATATGATTAAAATGAATAATGTCTCTCTCTTCCAGAGGAGTATTGTACTTTCACCTTGTCTTAAATATAAATATTTTTTAATTAATTTTAATTTAAAATATAAGTAATTTAGTAGATATAAATTTTTTTTTCATTTCATTTATTATATTAATCAAGCTAGATCTTTATATAAATATATATCATATTCATTATAGATTGTATCAATAATTAAAATTTAAAAATAATATATATTTGTATGAGAATGTAAACTTTATTAATTTGTGAATTTTTTGAAAAAACTGCTTAATTTTGAAGCCTCAGGCTAGGACACCGGTCCCGGCCACATCACACGCGCGTCCATACACGTGCCTCCCCCGTGACACCTCTCTTGACGAATGATGATACGTGGGAAGTGGCCTAGCCCCGCATATTTTTCTGGAAGAAGTTAGGGGTTTGTTAGGCCATATGTTTTAAACATAATTTTCTGTTCTTTAAAATAAAAAAATAAAAAATACTTTTGGTAGTATTTTTTAAAAGGTATTTTGAATAACAAAAGAAATTAAATATTTTTCTGAAAATAAAAAACAGAAGCATAATTTAAATGTTTTAAAATTATTGTATTGGAAAACAATGGAGAATATTCAACAACAAATTATTTATTTCCATTATTTTTTATTTTTAAAATATTGTATTATATAAACAAAATATTATTATTTTTATTTTTAAATATATATAAATAAATTTTTAAAATAATAAAATAAAGACAGTTTTTCTGATTTTTTTTTTCCTGGGATGAGTATGTTGTCATGCTTTTTTATTTAAAAAGAATGAGAAACATTATTAGACATCGTCTTCTGGTGAATAGTGTGGCGGTGTACTGTGTTGTTATCGTGCTGGCGGTGGCGCAAACAGTGACGGACAAAACTCTGGGTTTGGTTTTTGAAGGCGTCACGATGCCAACAGTGGCCACGTTAGCCAGAGCTTGGGAAATAAAAGGAAAAGCCGTTTTTTGGTCATGTTTTCACCAATATACCCATGGTTTGTTTTAATATTGTCTGCCGACCACACTCATTGCTGAACCTCCATATTATAGATAAAAAGCATACCCTTTTCTTTCCATCTTAATTAAAGGGAAAATTTTTGAAAATCCTATTTGGCCTTAAATATAAGACAAAGGTATGATAGTTATTTCTTTTTCAAACATTTCCCTTCCTTAATTACAACATGTTGTTCGCATATTTTCAGTTTATATACATTAGTTTTTTATGATGACCGTTAATTTCAGAAGAGAGTAAAGTTGAAAAGTCACACATTTTGTTATAAACTTAAAATATCAACTAACATTTCTTAAAAATTATAAAACTAGTCAAATTTACCTTATATTCAACTATTTTCCCACACTTTCTTTCCTTAAGTGCGTGATTAGGGGAGGGCAAAATGCCCACCTCCCCGTACTTAATTAAGAAATTTTGAAAAGAAAGGGAAGCAAATTTCTCTTCCCCTTCTTTTGGTCTCCTCTAAATTAAGATTTTGTGAAGAGGAGCTAAATTTTGGACCAATTTGCCCTCATACCTTTTTTTATATTCCATTATTGCCCATGTTTGAAAATGAATGAACTGGATCGACTTCACTCTCCAGACCCTCATCGATCCCTGGCGCTCTCACTGTGCCTCAGGACTGCACTTTTTCTCTTCGCTACTCCCTCGATTTGATTCTCACCGGTATTGATCTTCCGTTTTGTTCTTATGTGTTTTTTGTCATATTGCTGATTCTTGTGCCAAATTTTCTGTGAATTGAAGATGATTTTTTGGGCTAAATTGCTTTATACACTCGGTGATGTGTTAAAGATTCCTTATCAAAAAAGTTAGTTTCTTGCCTTGTACGCAGACCGTTATTATCTTAGCTGTAGTTCCACTTGAAGTTTAGCTAGGGTAATTAAATATCTTTTTTGGAGGATGAGGTTTAACTTAAAAAAAAATTAATAGATACAAAATGAACTAAAAAACCTAGTATTATGAAATTGGTTTATATGAGAAAAAGTAAAAGTAAAAATAAAATAAAATTTAATATGTAAAGACATAATAGTAATTTAATTATTACCTTCCCTCTCCTCTCCCTCTCCTCAGCCAAACAAAATATCATTTAAAATCCTCTCCTCCCTTTCCTTCTAATCAAGTAACATCAAAAGTTAAAAACTCTTTCCCTCCCTCCCCAACATAGTCTAAACTAAATAAGATATGATTGAAGTCTCCAGAGTGTCCGTTGAACCAGACAGATTACCGAGGAATGCAAGGGGAAAAGACGAGAACAAGATGCAGGACAATTTCAACACAAAAACTCGTTCCTCGCATGCAAATGGGCATTTAAGTCTGACAATTTTCAGGTAAAGTTTGACTTTAATTCCACTTTTCATTACTGTTAATCTAAAATATTTACCAAGTATAAAAAAGTTGGCCGACGAAAAAATAAAAACAGCATAAAATGGAGTAGTTGATTATTCATATGTGCAATTGTTGAAATTTAGGCATCATTACACTGCCATTGTCTACAATCCAGAATTCAGTAAAAGCTGCAGTCAAAAATACCCATTCACAGCAATAAGAAACCAACTTACCATGAAGACATGGACCATGCATGACAAAAGCACACAAGTTAACATGTATCAGCAGTCAGGACTGTATCACAAAATCATATATATAAGCATCCTTATAAACATAAAAACATAAAAATGCCCCAAAAATTTAGGTCTTAAACAAAGCAAATTAAGGACGCCTAGATAGGAATATGACCCCAAAACTCCATTAGCTACCGGTGAATAACTTCCACACATGCTTAAGCGGGTTTTACTTTCCCACACCATCTTCAAACACAGGTGACAAACCATTCCTGAAACCAATCAAATGGGGAACAAATTTTAAATGCCACTAAACTCATTCGATTACAAGAACCAAACAAGCAGCTAGAAGGGTAATGAAAATTACTAACTTGTAGCTTTATTTACATAAAAAAGGGGGTCATTGAAGAAAGCAAGCTGCTCAGTAAACTCCCGCCATCATGGATGCGGGAAGGTCATCAAAGCTCCAGAGGCTCATTGGGTTAGCAGCATCCTGTGTTGTGTCTCCACTAAGCAGAGTTCCAAGTGAAGCATCATCCCAGCTTCCTTCAAGATAAGGTGTCTGGAAGAAGTTCAGCTGGGATTCAATGTCAGCAAGCTCATCCGACAGAGTCTTTGCAGGACCATTTCCTGCGTTCTGAGAGTTCGAGTATTGCATGTTGTTGTTGTTGTTCAGGTTAGCATCTTGCAGAAACTGAGATTCACCAGAAAGCATGGATGAGATCTCTGGGGTCTTTGGAGCCTGTTCGCCCCACCCAAAATCCGAGTAGTCGAATGAGTTGCTCGCCTGATCAGAACTGAAATAAACCGCGACATCATCAGATGATGAGAGTGATGGGACCACATTGTTGGTCTCAGGAAACGATCCCACGTTAGCAGCTGCAGCATACTGGTTGATCTGAGGTTTTTGTTCCATCAGACCCATAGAGTAGTAGTAGTCCTCCAGATTGGTTCCAACATTGAAGTTTTGGGTCAAATTGGGCTGAGCAGAGTTCAGATTGGCCTTTGGAAGCGGCTTCTCAACTTTGGCCTTGAGGCGCTTCGAGGAAGGACCTGAGACCTCATCAGGGAAGTTAACCTTGGCTTTCTTGCCACGGATCCTTCTTGCCTCAGCATCATAAGCTCGTGCAGCTTCTTCAGCAGTATTAAAGGTTCCAAGCCAGACGCGAACCCCCTTTCTTGGATCACGGATCTCAGCTGCCCATTTACCCCATGGACGTTGGCGGATTCCCCTGAATTGATTCTTCCTCCTCCTTTTCAAAGACTTCTCAGTTTGCCCATCAGATTTCTCAGCTTTTGCGGCAGCAGATCCTTCAACATCATTGGAAAGGAAATCAATAAATCATCAGAACAACGGGAATATGCTCCTGTTTTTATGGTCATCAATTAATGATACAATTTAAAGCTGGCATGAATTAGGTTATGTGACCTTTCATCAATTGTTATAAAGGAAACTATAACATTCAAGAATAATAACCCGAATAGAATCAAAAGTACTAGCAGCTTATCCCCAAAAAAAAAAGGTACTAGCCTTGTTCAATGTAATATCGAAACAAAAATTACTCCACCGATCTGTACATAGTACTATTGTAATTCTTAGGTCACAAATTCTTAATTTTAGGTCAATCAAATTATTAATAATATACATATTAACCTGAAAGGAATCAGAACAGATTTATCATAAGAAGTAAAGAATTAATCCAACCAGCAACCGAATCAGATATGGACCTATGGACCCTCGAAGGCAGAAACCGAACTTAAGCAGCGTGTTGACCTAACCAGACACAAATTACCAGCCTACAATGATTTCTAGAAGACCATAAAGGCAAAAGAAATAACTTCCAATCGGATTCACAAATTTATATCGATACTGAAGTTCAGTCTTCTTCTGAATAAGAAACAACTTCAATCTGTTTTTCCCTCAAACGAAATTATTGAAATGGACAAAGATAACACATTAATTTCAAGACTCCTTGAAAATTTCTTTCCAGATTTTAAGCACTAGATCCACAAAACCATCCCAAATTAACTCACTTGAGATGCTGAATCCTAACACATGCACGGTTCATTAAAACCCTAACAAAAGGAAAGGGAAAACATTTTGAATATATTATTTCTATAGAGAAGCCAATTCTGTACTAAAAGAAAGCCTAAAACTTTTCTCCAGTGAGATGATAAGATCTAAGTAGTCGATCTTATTTTCCAGCTAAAATAATTTTCATATGCAGAAAAAAAAAGAATGCCATAGTATACCCTATTTTTGAAGGAACTCAAAAATCAGAGGTCATAGACAAACAAAGCTTGTTTCAATTTAATTAAAAAGGTCGATTTCAAAATTTCTCATCAAAGGAAAAAAAAAAAAAAAGATAAGAAAATGAAAAGGAAAATCATCTTCTCCATCAACACATTGAAAATCCAGCCACTGACATAAGATTCAAGCAGACAAATGCAGGGAAAACATCCTACATCAAATTTCATAACCAAAAAAAAAAAAAGAATCATGCAAGAATATCTATCAATCTATCCTTTAAGGAGGATGGGAAAATAGTTACCACGAGACAGGGGCCTCTTGGAGGGCTTAGCAGTGGATGAAGCAAAGGGCTTGACATCAATCATCAAATCTTCATCATCTTCATCCACATCGATATCGGAATCATCCTTGAATTCCCTGAAATCAGCTTCAAAATCATCGTCCAAGTCGATGACAGCTTCAGGCTTCAGAGGCTTGGAAAACCTCCCACCAGACCCGAGCTTCTTCAAATCTGGCCAGAGATAATCAGCGGTGAGCCGGCGAGACTTCCCCGTCCCGGCCGCCGCCGCCGGAATGAAGTCGGAGATAATAGCACCTCCACACATGTTTCTATTGCCTTCTCTGGGCGCTCAGCAGAGCTTATCTTGTACTCTGTGAAAGGAGAAATGTAAACTCGAAGCTTTTTCTTTGGAAATGGAAGCGATATCTTGAGGGTTTAATAATTCTGAGTTTGGTGACAAAGATGACCAGTAGGGAGGGCTTTATATATTATTTTTCCGGCAATGGAGTAAGTAGCTGCACAAGAAGACGAGAAACTTTTCGTTTACCATTATGCCCTTGGATTAGCTCAGGAATTGCTACCGTGAAGGTCAGAAAAGAGACTGAACTTCCAGGTTTACTGGTTTAGTCAGCTGCTTCTAGTGAAACGCGTGTTTGACAATAACTTAGAATTTTTTTAATACTTGACAAAAATTTCAGTTATCATGCAAAATAAAAAATTAATAATTTTTGTGAACTTTTGCAATATTTTTTAGTAACTAGTTTGAAATAAGAACATTTTTTTCTTTTGCTAAAATTATGGTAAACCCTAATAATATGATTGAAAGAATAACATTGATTAAATTTTGTTATTTGATTGTGCCAAATTCTAGTATCATCCAGATTAATTAAAAATATTTTTTTTTGCATTTGCACATACATAAATTGGGGATCTTGTGCTTAAGCAGTCATAATCCTTTCACTAGAACAACACCTGTTGGTGGATTGTAAATCCTAAGAATTAAAAATAATCTTAGCTTCATTTTCTTCCATTTTGCATGGAACAACAAAATTTCCTTTCACTTCACATTTATCATGAAATTAAAAATATTAACCAATGCATTGGACAAGAATGTAGATATATTATGGTTAATACGTTTTTTAAGTGATATATATCATGCGAAGCTTTATCAAAAGAAGATTTGTTAATTACAGTTGATAAATTGAGGTGCGGCGATGTCAGTGATGAAGAAGGGTGCATGAATGACGAGGTAAACAAATAAAAAATAAAATTACATGTATTTATATTCACGTTATTTTGAAAAGAATTAATGGTTCCAAATGGTAAATTGTGAGGCCGGTCGTGGGTGATTCCTTTTTTTTTTTTCCAATATCAAATGGTCGTGGTTGATTCTTTGTCACGTGCTAAATTTTTCTTCCCATGGTACAACTAATTTTTCTTACATTTACAATAAAATCTTAACAGTTAACGAACATATTAACGATGAACGGTTGATAAATATTTAGTCTTAAATTCTTAATAAATACGTAGAGCAAATATATTCATTATCAAGTTATGATTAATAATTACATGAGAAATCTAGCACGTATAAACGATACGCAACCATTTATTTACGAGTCATATTATAATGTTGTGACACAATTATATGATATAAGAAATTTTGTTACTTGATGGGAAATAATAAATAATGATAGTAATTTATTTATTGACCAATTTTTGTGTATTAAAAAAATTATTATATGTTTATTGTAAAATGCACTCTTGTAACGTATAATATATTTTTTATCAAGTAATAATATAAGGAGTTACGTTGTATAGATTATATTGCTATCCATGCAAATGTATAAATCGCTGTAACTATAAAATCCCGAGTTTAAAATTTTAAAAAAAAACAAAGAATTGGATTGGAATGCAATTTAAGGAAAAATGCCACTTGAACCATAATTGAAAATATAGCACAGTTACATGTAAAAGTTAATTGTGAAAATCATGTTATAAAATTGGAAAAAAAAAATTACATAATTGTGAAGGTGACTGGGAAACCAGTTACTTCGGTATCCAGGGTAGTTTTAGGTAGATGAGAATAGGGGCAAAACTGGGAAAGAGAAGTAAAAGGCGAATGGGCAATATTGTAAACTTACAGTATGTTGTCAATTGTCAAATTAATAAGAGTTCAACTTTTCCTCCCTTCTCTTAAATGAAAATCCAATATCTTTAAAGTTAAATTCATGCATCCACGCTGGTTTTTAAAAAAAAAAAAAAAAATCATGCATCCATATTAATTGGTAATTAGTCAATCAATATTTTGGATCTCAAAAAATCATATATATGTAAAAGAATATATACACTTACTAAATTAAATTCATCACAAATTTACTAAATAAAAAATTAATATTTATTACCATAAATAGAATAATTAATTTTGGATCTTTCCAATGGTCAAAAGGATGAATTGTTTCCATCTCTAATTTCAAGTGGCCATATGCAATAATCATATATAAGTAAAAATGAGGTTCATTCTTAATTTTTATAAAACATATCTGAGTTTTAAAAAATATAACTTTACTAGTGAATCCATTTTATTTAAACACATTTAAATTAGTATTCTGATCTTACAATTAATGCTTAAGATTTTAATTAAAAAATTAGATATATATAAAGACAGTAAGATACAAAGAATTTGATAGAAATGGTCAACTTTAGATAAATTCAATATAGTAAATACAATTACTTTCAGTATAGTAAAGTGTATTTTGCCTCCATTAAATATAATAAAAGATAAATCTGAAGTAAATTATTGATTTATAAATGAAACCTTTGTTTTAAATCAATACATATCAAAGTAAAATACTCCCTTAACTCTTTGAATTAAGGTATTTTTTAAAAATTAGATATTTAAAAATGGAAGACATTTTAAATTTTTTAATATGTAATCATTACTTTTTTTAAAAAGTGCTTCTATTGAATAGATTACTTTATGTTTTTTTAAGGTAAAATATTTTATTAAATAAGAATAAATATAAAAAAATAAAATTAATTTAAAAATAATTAATTATTTTATTGGGAGTGAAATTCAATAAAAATATCTTATATTTTTTGATTGGAGCAACCCAATGCTCTATTATTTGTATCCCGGCTTGAAGTGTTGATTGGGGCAACCCAATGCTCTATAATTTGTATCGGGTTTGGTCCAATTTAAAAATAATTAAAAAAAATTATTTATCAATAATATAATTATCACCATCTAGGATACATTTTACATAAAACTAGTGGTACGATAAAAGGTAATATTTTTAATATATACACACACACATTAAAATATCTATTATTTTTACATATTATTAAGTTAAAAATTACTTTATAATCTTGCAAATGATTAAAAATCAAAATCATAAAAAATATTAATAATGATCATGAAAATGTGATGCTCCATGAAATATAATAGAAATATAATACTATACAATAATTACATTTCACCAAAAAAATTAAAAAAATAAAATAGATAAGTTTGGACCAAGTTGACCTATTAGATCATCGAGCATATTATGTAACATCTTAAAATTTAAACTAAAAGTTTAGAATAAGCTAAGAATTAATTAGAATTAATTAGGGGTTAATATTTAAATTTAAAATTGAAATTGAGGGGAAAAGTGTGAATTATAGTCAAGTCTATCTATAGATGGATCTTACTAGAAAGGGTTATGCTCTCCGGTCGTACTCGCTCACGAATGAAGTCTCCACTGGGGATGACCAGTCGTGAATGTAAATAGGGATGGGGATCCGTTTAAGTGGGCTCATTTGGTTGTGGATGAGATTATAATATGTTATGACCGCCTGTGGATGTAAAACCAGTTTTTGCTATAAATGGCAAAAAACATAAAATTAAGAAGGAAAAAGAAGAGAAGGGTGATGGGAAAACTTGGGGTTCCACTAAGGTTCATCCTAAGTGATTATTAGAGGCCTATTTGGAGCTCTAATCACTTGTGTAAGTGGTATCTCTCTTCCTCTCCCTCTCTACATGGTTTTTATGTTGAGTTTTGGGTAGAATGGTAATGGTTATGTTAATGGGAGCTTTTGGCCAAACCTATTAGTTCCAATAGAATTAATGAAAGTTGTTTAAGGTTTTTAAACTATGATTAGTAAATTTATAAGGTTACATTATTGGGCTTTTTTTATGAAAATTGTTGGGCTCTTAATAATTGACAAACCTTTTAAGCTAAAGGATTGATTTGAGCAAACCCTAAGTATGGAATAAGTAATGTGGCGATTAAATAAGTAAACAGTGGGTTTAATTAGACTCATTGGAGACTAGTGAAAGTAATGGAACAATTAGATATCAAAGTTTCTTAATAAAATGCATTTATGATACTTTTGAGTTGAATAGCTAGTTGGAACAATTATTTGGAAGCGGTGACCTTTGGCTAGGTTATCCCTCAAACATTAAAGAGCTTGAGTTAGTCGAATTATATTGATTGATCCTGTTATGAATTGTAGCCTATGAATCCAGTCAGAAGGAATAAGGAAGAGATAATGGGGAAATTGATGATCATGCATGCCTTATATTGTGATTTATGATTTATGGCTAAAATTATCTGCTTTACACATCCTTAATTGCTCATGCTTGTATATGTTTAAAGTTAAAATTTATTAATTATTGAGATATTTATCTCACTCCATGGTTTAACATTTTACAAGGTGAAGGTTCAACTAGTGGCAAAGGAAAAGAACTAGAGGCAAAAAATTCGTGATTAATTTGCAATGCCTTTAAGTTACCATGTGTAAAGGATTTATGATTCTTTATATATGTACGCATATAGGGGACACATCAAGCATTTATGTTTGTAATTGAATTGTGGTTGTATATCTATGTATGAATGGCTTCTTCGATTGGATCAAGCTCGTGAGCTTGTGGTGGGTTAGATGATTTGATAACTTGAGTTGATGAATTTGACATTGATAAGTATTGTATGTCTAGTTGGTTTTGTTGGATCAAGCTTGCGAGACTTGTGTTTTTGGCTAGAGACATGGATATGGACATATGTGTATGGTATGATGTTGTTTATGGATGGTTGTTGAGTTTGATTTAGTTTTATTGAGTCTCAACACTTATATGCTTGATTTGGGAAGGTCAAATTATTAATATTATGCTTAACTCATGGAAAATGATTGTTGTGTTCCTATGATGCTGTGTAATCCTATTTTAGGATTACTTGTTGTTTTAGTTTGTTAGATTATTTTGATTTGATGTGCTTGAACCTAAATGGTTTGGAAATTAATTTTTATCGAGATCCTGTTTTTCAAACATTTTTCATTTAACCAGTGCTTGTTTCTTTATAACTATGGTTAAACACTTAAGTTTTTTTTATTATGGTAATGGTTAAGTTGAGATAAAAATCCTACTTACTATGATAGTGTAATTTAATTAGTGAGTTAATTATTGTGGTAATTACATCCTGCACAGCTTGA